ACCATATGGCGAGCACACTTATTATCTCAGTTAAAATTCCGGTAGATAAAAATGAAAACAGATATGACATACAACTTTTTCGAACGTGCTCCAGAAGTCATGAGGAAACGTGAGAAAAACCTAAATTCGTGTGAAGTATATCCCTCATTCGTCTTACAACATGATATCGATAATCCCCAACTGCATCGAGTGACCGCCCCAGTAACATGTGCAAGTTTTTCGAGAATACTTGTTTAAATCAATCATACATAAATTAAGTTTCAAGTATTTAATAATGTTGAATTAACATTAAATTGTACAGAATACTGATAATTTTATACCGTTTTTATTACAAATAAAATAAACAATAGTTAAAAAACTTAATAATTATAAATTATTATCAGTAAATAATTCTTTAAGTAAAAACTTAAATTATTCATTCACAAATATGTGTTTAAAAAAATGTATGATACAACCTTAATTTTAATACATCTTTAGAGCTATCTTTACAGTCAATAATTTAAATATTTTTGGAAAAGTCGAGAATAATTATTATACATTGTTATGTAGCAGTTCCATTACAAACATTAAAATTTCTTAAAAAAATTTAATTTAAACTTCATTCTAATAGCTAAATACAATATTATACATAAATTTAAGTCTACTATTTATCTTAGTTTAACTAGTATACTTAATGAGAAAGTTATCCAAACTAGTTTTAATTATTTTCGAGTTTGAGCTAGGCGTTGTTATTTTAATAGTTAATTATGATTGGAATTCCCAATCAACCAAGTGTTTCCATTTGGTTATATTTTTTTCAGCGAGTTAGGAAAGGTTAGTTTGAGTATTATTTGTAATTGTGTTCGCTTAATTTTCTGTTGTGTGTATTGGTAAAAACGTTAATTTATAGGTAAATAATGAATAACTACATAAGTATTCCCAATTTAAATACATATTATCCATTAAAGTTAATTATTATCACATTTCAAATACAATGAAAGCATTTTAAGTGTTTAGAATTGTGTCTATGAAGTAATAACAAATACCGTTGCGATTTTATTTATCTATTGACCCTTAGTTAACTCTAAGGGCTAAATTGATAGGTACGTTTTTTATAAGTGGTATGATAAGTCATATTATTGGCAGGTATATAAGTGGTCGATGTAATTGACGTACTAATAGCCGTTCGCCTTCTTTTATTGTAATAAAAGAATGTACACTTAAAACACAATGCATCGATATTGCTTATATCTTTAGTATAGAAGTTATACAATGTGGAATACTTGTACTCAATTAAAGGTAATTTAAGACGTAAAAAGACGTACATTTTAAGAGGAAATCGTTTACAATACATGGAATATATGTTAACATGAATGCGAAAATTAAGAAGCCAACATGGATGTATTGGTACACTTAGATGAGTTTAATTTTCCATAGATTCTGAGATTAATTATTTTTAGTGTACTAAATATAATTAAACACGTTCGTACGATTACTACTCATATCGAATATTATGGTTTTTAATAAAAAACATTTTTATGCAATAAAAAAAAATCATGATAAGTCAATAATAACTAAGCATTCAATACATTAAATTTATTAGGGAAGTCATCTTAATAAATCATAGTTTACTTTTAAAAATGAATATAACTAATAGCTTAAAAAACCACAGGTATATTTTAATAATAATGTTATTATAAGCACCAAATGCGTACTAAAAATTTGAAAGATTAAATGAGTCTCAAAATTGATTTGTATTGTGTATATATTTGTACAAATTCAATTAGTTCATGTTGATCGCGAGACCAAACCTCAAAAATAAGAATTAGTGGCACCAAACCTTTTGAATGATATTCCTAGTACCGGAGCCGTCGGGCCTCCCTAATATACCTATAACACCATGTAAGTCCGATTCAATAAATGTCGTTAAGAGGAAACTACAATAAGGATATTTTTCTTTTTTTATCTATATAATATATTAGACACTAATTCCTTTTACCTGTGTACAGTATCTGTGGAGTGTAATGTCGTAACATATAAGTATATTATGAACGGCTTCATTGTCACTTTTACAGTTGGTCCGCAGGGACGCGACGCCAGAGAAACGGGTGCGACTCGCGAACACAACAAGATAACACATTGATATACAATTACTGTGAACCAAATACCAATCTAGTATTTATTTCTATGTCTAGACGTCCACAAAATGGTTGAGTGTAATAGTTTACGGGACACGAGTATAATGCAAAGAATAGCAAAAAAAAAAAACAAACAAAATACCGATTGCGGAAATCCAATAATATTAATGGCATAATAACCACCACGCGGTAACACTAATATTAACAACAGTATCCAGTTGTGTCAATTGATGACAGGCAGTGTATACAATGTATTAAAAAATACAAGGATATAAATGTAATTAAAGATTTTGATTTTTAACTGACATGAAGATTTTGAGTTTTGTCAACAATTGCAATCGAAATGAATTATACAAACGCTTGCAGGAATTTTTTAGGAAATTTCTCTATCAAATAAAAATCTCAAGTTAGTAATTAGAAATTATGGAATTGAAAGACTAAAAAAGCGTAGAAAATGATAATCAAATAAATAAATTGCGCAATTAGAGTCGAGTAACAATTTTATAGCATTAGGTCGGTCGCACGGGAAATTGGTTGACCTTAATAAATTTACAAGTGTCTACGGAGGGAACATATCAATATAAACTGCGTTTAACAGAAGTTTAAACTCTCATATTTAATAAAGAAATGAAAACAATATTGAAACGAATCTTCAAATTGACAGTTTATAATATTTAACAGGTAAATTTTACTAACAAACATGGTCACAACTAGTGACGCCATTTACGCAAACTAAAGATCAGGTAGGTAGGTAAATACTCATTAATCGTTATTCGCCAACTTCCACGAAGAAGAAAGGCACATAAATGTACAAACATGGCAATTGGCCACATTAATAAATTAGGATGTCAACTCAATTTCAAAATTTACCACAACATGAATACTTCTGGTTCTCAGTTATCTATAATAGTGTTTTTTGAGAAAGATCGGCTCACTGTCGTATCAAACCCCATAAGCGAGTAAGAGTGTGTTAATAAGAATCTAACAATAACAAAAGATCACGTTTTAAAAACCACATTACAATGACAATATCCTCACAAAATCGACAGAAATCGTTCGACACACGTCGTATTATAGGCAGGACAATGCTACAAAAACACATAATCGCAGTATGCTATAAAATTACTTCTAGTTCATTATGGTAATGTTCAAAAGTACAGACCTTACGTAATCTTTAATCCTGGAAACGCACGATTTTTTTTATCTGTCGCTGTCCTCATCCAATTTAGTACCTCAACAACTAATATGAATTCTCTAAACATTTGTTCATGTCAAAAATAAATGATGGGACTAATTTTATTATGATGATTAATATGTGTTTTATTTCGGATCGCGCGTGTTTAGATGTAAAGTAGTGAACAACATATGCAGCACATCGAGCCCATGAACACGCTTGTTCATTTTACTTGTGTGCACATCTGCATTAAGACAATAATTACATTTTTTTTTAAATTTCATTTAACGTGCATGTACAATTAAAATATACGGGCCTTGATCGTTCGCTTTTTAATCCAGCAATTAATAGTCAAGCACGGTTAGTTTTTTTATTTCATTTTTTATAGTTTTAAACGTATTCATGATAAACAGAAAACGTCAAAACGGCCTCGATAGATCTGGTTGGACGCATTATGATTTTAGGGCACACGGTTAAGTGGTCACGTATAAAATGGTCCCATTTAATATTTCTAATTTAAAAGCGTACCCCAATGATAGTTATCTATTAAAAAAATATATAAATTAATAATAATTAGGAGGAATGAAATTATGTAACGTAACATATATAATTTAGAATAACAACAGCGTTAAATGATAATTATTATTGTTCTAAAATATAGTGAGATAACAAATGATGATCTACTGTCCTTTAGTAACATTATGTTTTATTTCTGATGAATTATTAAAATCACAATGAACGAATAGTCGCGTAACATTTTGGAAGAATATCCAACAGGGGAAATTATAATGCTATTTTATTTAACTCTGTAATAGGTAGTATTGTGTTATGTATGTTAAGTTGGTAATTTTAATCTCAGTTGCGGTAGCAAATGTCATAATCATCAAATCGCCCGAGGCTTCCTCTATAAACACTAACAAAAAAGCAAATCCTTAATTACGTGCTTGTTGTCATGATTCTCAGGTGCTAATGGTTATAAACATTATACGGACTTTTTTCACTCGAGGTATTAGAAAAATCTACAAGGTAAAGGTCAATTATGGGAATATTTTATTGCGGGAAATTAAACTGAGCCACGGCAAATTAAAATAGCTCAGTTATCACTCTTATTACGCAGTGAGTGGTAAATAAATTAAATTATAATACATTAAATTATATCAATAACTAGAATATCGGCAGAGTTTAGCAGACATTTAACGTAACAGTTATATGTTTAATAGAAGTGCGCCAAAATTTGTCCTAATAAGTCCTAGTGAAAAGTCTTCATAAAGCAATACTTGATAGTTTCGTAAAACCGGAAATGAAATTATAATTTTCTTCTTCAAACGCCCCCTACATCGATGCCAAAACTTTCGTTGATGGCATTATTAATTTGATTGTACAATAAGTACATATTAATAAAATCAGTGTTTAAATGTTCACCGATCTTAGTATAATAATATATATATATATATATAGTATAAATATATAATAGTATTTACTAATGCCTACAGAAATTTAACTAATCACTAAAATGACTCGTATTGAAATTGTTAATATTCTAAGGTAATAACATACCGATTTAAAATTAATTGTTTAAACGAACAATTTAGAACGGAATCGGATACGAATATTGCGGTGGAAGTCACTGTTATAATTTTTTTTTTAAGTCACATTACTAATTATAACCATTATCATTATGTAAAAATATAAGTATGATGTTTACTTACCGAAAAAAATTGTGGTTTTCAGGCCAATTGGAAGTATTCTCAGTGTCAATCACGTACAGGTGACGGCGGCGATATTGGACGCACGTTGTGTTTCACTGCGTCTGTTACAATTTGAACTGAGTACCGATGACGGCGGCGACGGTATGGGACCGGCGTCCAATTTAGAACACGCGAATCAACTGGTGGCGTCGGAGTGCAACCGAAAATTGCTGTACAGGCGTGAGGTTTGTCTGTATTTTTTTTATGAGCGTTTTTCACTCCCTCTGCGATAATACTGCCGCGACCACTGCCGTGTAGTGTCTGTGTCGCGTCTGGTCTCGTTATCTACCGCCACCGGCCGGCAACGCGACCTTTACTGACCCACGAATGCAGCGCCTCCTGTTGTCGTTATAAAAAGTTGTCACGTGCTTCCGTCCTCCATTTGAACAACATTTTCCCCCGTCGGGCCGGACCATGTCGTACGATTAAAAAACTGTATTGTTATAATAACAATAAACATGTTCATTGCGATGTTAAATAATGAACATTAAACAAGGAAAATGGAATAATTTATTATTTCTTCGAACCGCTCAATTGAGATTCATACATAAGATTGACGTATTGTTGAAACTATGAAACAATTACGCTGAATTTTCATAAAAAGTATATTGGTTGTTTGTTATTAGAAATACTTCCATAACCATTGACAATAAACACAAAAATGAAAGGTTTTATTAAATTTTACTTGATGGTTAACAATAAATGAATACTTTGATTTGAACACGAATTGCCAATCATATTCTTATCGGTGGAGCGTTTTGGGACGTCAAAATTCATTTAGCCACTCCGCACCAATATCTCAAATACGGCTCTGCTTCCGATTGATTATTATCATGATTATTGATTAATTTAGTGATAAAATACGATTTTTTCCATGATATATTTTAGGTATAATGCTTGTTGTAGTCGAAGAGTGAAAAGGTTTTCTCTTCTGAACTTTTAATCAACCCACAGACACCGTCCACCTTATCTAATTTTCAATTTATACTTGTAAACTATACTGTAAACTAATATTAATATCAATTATAATTATATTATAATTGCTATTTGCGACTACAGGTTGGCATTGGATATACGGTTTTGTAAATAAATAAAATGGATTTCATAATACTTAATTTATGAAAAAATGCAAAAAATATGACATATCTTACAAAATTATAAATCTTGTTAAAGTATTACGAAAATTTACTTATGTAAAGACTACATACATGTCATGTTTTTATCATTGTGATCATTTTAAATGTAGGTCTTCTAAAATGATTATAAAAAATGATAAAAATAATATTTTTGTATTTTCAACTTTTAATGTTATGTAGAAATGTGTGCATACAAGGTCCTATTTTTAATTTTATTTGACTTGGCACTTGACATTCTTTGTACCTTCATCGCAGTGTATAAAAGTGCATATTATGCAGTAGCATATAACAGATACTACTTATTAGTACTTAAGGAATATTTTACACTTTGTGTAAATTATTTTCTTTTATATTAATTTGGCCTTTAGGCCAAATTAATTGTTAATATTATTATTGTCATTTTTTAATTATTTAAAATTTGGGATTTTTATGTATTTTACGACTTAAATAGTGTTAAAATTTTTTTATCTTATACATTGGTATTATAGCGTTATAAATTTATACAAACTTCAAGTAGTTGGGATTAAGGCATTAAAGCGAGGAAGAAGAAGAAGAACTTCAATCTCTTTAGAATAAATATGCTGAATAATTTGCACGGCTATGGAAATAGTTACTTTCTATATGCTGTCTTAAAAAATCTTACTTTTGAAGTAAGTCCTTCGGCTACACATTCTTTATAATTTACTTATTTTAAAACAACTATTGTCTAATAAATTAAAAATGCTCTGCTAACTTTTATTAAGTTGAGACAAGAGAGCAAGTAAATTTCATAATAAATTAGCTAATTCGAATAGTAATTTTTTATTGCTTTGAGAAATTATCAAGAAATTTAATTTGCTGTCTATAGATAATGCCTTTGAATAATAGTGTCCATAAAAATAGAAATAACTTTCTCTTTTATAACTCTTCATTATAACTTTTATATTTCAAGAAGAACAATTAAATATAGCTGATCTAACATATCAATAATTTAATTGATTGTAATAAAGTTAATTAAATATTTCAAAGGTAGGAAATTATAAAAAAAAGTTTTTTTTTATTAAAATAGTCATAAAAATAGCCATTTATTTTCATCTGTATGATCTAAGATTATTTTTTTTAGGTAAACGTTAGTAAAATTAAATTTTCTTGATCTCTTACAATATTTTTATTTATAATGTATATGTATAGTGTAACTAATATGATGTGTAGTAATAATGATATGTACTTCTGTGACTAGCGTTGATAAAATGGTAACATTGTTCCCAAAATACGTATCCGCCATTTTTTTTTTGTAATTTTTTGTTATTTTTTTGTTTTAAATTAATACTGTAAATATATTTTTAATTTTAATTAAAAAGTTATTTAAGTATATACTTTATTTGTGGAAGCTATTTTATAATTATTGGATTTAAATATTGGCAAGCGTCAATTGCCTTGAGATCCAAAAATGTCTAATTGAAGGCATAACATTGACGTGAACTATTTTATTTTTAAAATTTAATTGTTCAAAACTATTTGGGTTCTAAAACATTTCCTATGAATTTATTTTATATAAAAAAATTCTATGTTTAGTAGGTATCTAATGATAAAAAAATTTATTAATGATGTATTTTAGTAGGTTTATTAATGGCTCAGTTCCTTTTTACATAATTCAAACATAACATAAAGTAAACATGTTTTTATTTTTTAAACTACGTCTAATTTTTTGTAATTTAAGTATATTTAGGATTAATTACATATTTGTTAAATCGAAACTAATATTCTAAACTATAGGAAGGATATCTAACTAAACATAATTGTGTAATGTAGATATTATATATCAATAAAATTGCAATTGTATAATTATTCTAAAGGCGTGTCACTTTATTTATATTAAATAATAAATGGCAATTTTAATTTTGTATTATTATTATTAAAATTTGATAATTTTTGTTTTAATAGGTACTGAAATTATTATATTTTAATGGTATTAAAGGGAGTTTGGTTAAGAGTAGCAGGTTATTAACATAGGCACAAATTACTTACCATGCATTAAGATGTCATTGGCACCCCCAATTATATATATTATAATTACTGTTTTTTTTTTTTAAATCATAATAATATTAGGAGTATGCATGTCGTCGTCGGTGTAGAATGTATATTTTTCTTTAAACATAGAAGATAATTTCTGTGGAGTGAGAACAAATTATTTTGGCTTTTGGAATCATCAAGTTAAAAACCTATTGTTATTATCATCTTACTCGTGAAAAAAGAATTAAAGTCTGTATAAAATATGCTTAGATTTTTTTCGGAAGCCTCGTGAAATTGTTTACTTGCATTCTATTTTGTGATGGTTAAATAGCGTCTCCACAATATATTATTTTGATTATAGGATATGAAGTTTGATTTCTCATTATAGTAATAATATGTATTTTATGATAATATAGTATTCCATGTTTATAAAGAATATTTTTTTACGTGTTTTAAAGTAATTATAATTGAGCCTTAGTGTAACATTACGGTTTCTAAAAATAAACTAATTCAAGGCAGATATTATAAAAATAAAATTTCAGAAATTTATTGCAGTAAATAACCGCAAATAATATTATATTATTAATATGTTCATTATTCGTTGTACTATTGACCTTCGAGAATAATTATATTTTAGTGTTGAATTTTTCTGAATAGATTATTATTATTATTATTGCTGAACTATTTACTTAAATATCTTACAAAAGTTAAATTGACTTATTAAATATATAGTTAAGTCTTACTAGTAGGTTTATATAATATATTATTATATATCTAAAATATATTATAAGAATTAATACAGATTATTTTTTAATTTTCTCGCAAAACACTATGAAAATTATTGTACATTGTTTTAACTATTATTCGATAGATATATTGGGACATTTACAATTATTTAATGAGTAACTCAAAAGTATGTTGAAATTCACATTTAAGGCTTTATGGCTTTAATTAAGGGTGAAAGATATTATACAAATTCATTAATATTATTGAAATAAGGAAAAATGTTGTTACATCTTTATTTAATTACAATAAATTTTTTTTATAATTTTCTAATGGAACCTATATCTTAAGAATTGACTCAAGTAACTTTAAGTAACAAGTATTGTATTGATTTGTTGAAAAAATATTAAAAATTTTTTTTACAATAGTTATACTTAACTTTTAAATATTCAACGTCTATCTGCTATATTTCTGCTTACGAAAGAACTTATGTCTAAATTAATAACTATAAATCTCTTATATTTAATAAAACCTGATAAAGAAGATTTATTATACTCATATGTATCTGGATATTAAATAATAAATGAATCAGAGTCAATATGCCTAATATAATACGATATTTATATTTTTTTTATATTGTTTTTATACAACCGTATAACCGTGTAATTATCGAATATTTTTATTATTTGAGTAGTTTTTGAATGACTATCAAATAGTTCGATTGTTACTATTTGATAATTCCCATCACTACTAATAAGCGACTTTTACAAATCATCATCATATTTTAATTGTGCATAAACGCACGTACTAGGATAAATAAAAATTGTATGACACTTGACTTGTCAAAGGTTATTCTTTTGGGTACTATTACACACTTATAATATGTCATATCAATTTTAATTAATACAAATTTTTGCTAATAATTGTATAATTACCAAAATGCCACTGATTATTTAAAGCGTTTAAAATATAATTATAATCCAATATTTCATTAAAAATCTATATTTATGTTGTATTTTGTGTGGTAATTGTTTTAGTCAATCCAAACAGTAATAAAAAAATTTTTTATTAAATCATAACAATTTATTTTTAGTTATAATTATTATCAGTTGCTAAATATTAGTTTGACCCTTACATGTATCAATACAAATTGCGTGAATACATTTATTTTTCTTCAATTTTTACAACTTGTCTTCATAGTTAAACATTTTTTTTGTTTTTATAAGTATTAAGTTAACTAATTTTAAAATAACTCATTTTTCTTACGTTATTATAATTGTTTAATGCATGTTCATTTTTTCTGACTGCGTGCATGGTTATTCAGTCGAATTAAAGTACAAATGGGGCTATTGACGAGTTAGCCTCATTTTTTATTTCTTTAAATATCACTGTTAATAATATTATGGTAAATAATGAAAATTATGTTACGTTGTGTCGTTTGCTTAGTAAAATATTTTTTATGGAGTTCACGTATTGACGGCACATCGTTGTAACCTTTTTAGATGCAAGAGTTAATTTTTAACTATTAAAACTGCACGAGAATTATACCAAGTGATTCCATCCGTTTCCGGTGATTGTCATGCTATCTTTTCCAATATTCATTTTTTTAATAGAAAGCATTAGAGTAATAAATATTATTATAATTAGTGTTCGGAAGTTGGTGCACTTTAATTTTTTTATAATGAATAAAAAATTAGTTATATACAGGTACATTTCATGAGTTTTACAAATAGAATTTGAATTTTTTATTTTCTATATTTTGGTTATTTTTTTCTCTTTAGTCATTTATTACCTATAGCTTTTGTAATTTTTCATCACGTTAATAGTTATTTAAGTAATAAAAAGGCAATTTTTTCATTAAAAAGAAAAGGATCTTCTTAAATATTTTGAATGATAC